CATCTTCAGCCGCCTCTCTATCTCGGACGACTGAGGAGCGGGGCAGGGCGCCCCGCCGCCGCCGCAGCCTCCTCGCGGACTGCCGCCACCGCCTCCCGGGAACCAGCCAAGCTCGCACACGCGGTCCCCCTGGGCTCTGAAGGGGAGGGGGGGTGTTTTCTCTAATCTCTCTCCTGGTTTTTTGTTTGTTTTTTCTTTGCTTCAGGGTGTTTCCATTTTTCTCTCTTCGCCTCCCCCCCTCCCCCCCTTTTTCTAGTTTAATTGCTGAGCAACTAAATTAAAAAGCGGAGGGGTGGAAGAGAGGTAGAGAAGGAGGGAGGGCGGGGAAACCAACCCACGTTTTATGTCGCGAGACGAACAAAAACAAAAACTTCAGTCTTTTTTTTTTTTTTTTTTTTTTTTTTTTTTTTTTTTTTTTTTTTTTTTTTTTTTTTTTTTTTTTTTTTTTTTTTTTTTTTTTTTTTTTTTTTTTTTTTTTTTTTTTTTTTTTTTTTTTTTTTAGAGAGAGACCTTGGAAGAAGGGGATTGTCTTTCTTTTTTTTTTTTTTTTTCTTTCGTTGTTGTTCCTCTTGGAGACTAAGCACCAGCAGCAGCAGCCATTCCATCTGTGTGTTCGTGTTTTTGTTTTGTTCTTTTACAAGAAGCATTAGCAGAAGGGAGGGGGGGGAAGACACCCCCGGAAAGCAACAAACAATCCAGAGGGGCCTGAACCCAGCTTTTCCAGCTCCTCCAATTTTTTTTATACATGGGGGGGGGGGGCATTTGTGGGCAATTGATTATTAAGTAGTGGGGGGGGAGGAGTTGTTTGGGGGTTTTTTTTCTTCCTTTCTGGCCTTTCAGTCCAGTTCAAAATGAAAACACACAACATATGAAATGTATAAGCTTTTAAAAGAAGAATACAACATCCTGCCAAGAATATGCCTTGATAACAAAACAACCCTTTTTTATATATATAAATATATCTATATATATCTATATATATTATAACAAATGCTAAAACTTTTCATTCCAAAGTTTAATATTGGTTCCATTGCCACCACTTAGTGGACGTTTGGCTTAGAACAATTTTGTGTTGTTGTTTGCTTTATTTGGAAGCACTCAACCGAGTTTAGTTTTGTCATTGTTGGAGAATAACTGCTGATTTTTTTGTTTGTTTTTTTTAATTTTTTTAGCTGTTTTTTGAGTTGAACTGCATGAGTCACTGCACACAACTCAATATGAAACTATTTAACTTATTTATTATCTTGTGAAAAGTATACATTGGTAATTTGTTCATACTGTATTTATCGGGTATGATGAAAAGCAATAGATATATATTCTTTTATTATGTTTAAATTATGATTGCCATTATTAATCGGCGAAATGTGGAGTGTGTGTTCTTTTCACAGTAATATATGCCTTTTTGTAACTTCACTTGGTTATTTTATTGTAAATGAGTAAAATCTTAATTTAAGAGATTGTATGTAATATTTATTTCATTAATTTCTTTCCTTGTTTACGAAAATTTTTGAAAGATTGCATGGTTTCTTGATAGAAATCGGTCTCGATGCTGTGGAAGTAGTTTGAGGATTTTTTTTTTCTATGGGTTTTCTAGAATGTAAAATGGTTGTAGCCCGTCCAAGTTTGTTTATTTGTTTGTTGTTTTTAATGAAAACAGAACTACTTTGCAATCAGACTTCAAAGTGGCAAATGTAAATCAAACTCATTTGAAATTTAACCAAAAAAGTATTTTTGTTGCCTAACTCCACCAATCACACTGTGATAATAGTCTCAAAGTATGTAGCAATAATTGGGGGTCCCAGTATTATCTCACAGTGCCTTCTCAAGGGTCCACGCTTGCCTTAAATCTTCCTCAACCAAAAAAGTATTTTTTCTTAATGCTTGACATGATAATTTGAATGTAGGGATGGGTTTTAACTACAACAATTTCACCACTTATTTTTTTTAAATAAGCAAGGAGGCCACCTTTGGATCTGAAACTTTATACAGTACGTGAACATATCTTGTTGAATTAAATTCCAAAACTTTGTAATTATTATTATTTTTTTTTTCTCCTTGTGTAGAAAGTCTGGGGGGTGGGAGGGGGAGGGGAGGGCTCCAAAACTTTCCTGGACGGTGGATGAATGAGCAGTAGCTTTAGTTTTTTGTTTTGTACATAGGTACAGATTGAGCACTATGTACTTTTTTTTTTTTTTTTTTTCCCCTTCTTTGGACTACTTTAACAGAAATATGCTTTGAATGTAACTAAAGGATAAGTCAACTTGAGTTGTAATATATTTTCGGGAGTCAGTTCACTACAAATTGAGTGTGAGACTGTAAACTTTGTACTGTAAATGTTTTGTAGTTCTCCCAATAAAAATTTTTG